TGTGAAGTAAACCCCACTCCTCCTCCTCCTCTCCCCTCCAACCTCCAACCTCCTCTCGCAGTCAAATTAAAACACCGACCACTCACCCTGCCCCTCTACCTCTCACCGCTTTGCCAGCTGTGCAGCCCGAGACCGCTGCCAAAAGAAACACAGGCTTACGTCAACTTCCAAATAAGGAGCTGCTGCTTCACTTTGACCTGAAAGAGAGACACCGAGAGGTTGGAGAGAGGGAGAGGAAGGGGGCGAGTGTGAAAGAGGTGGAGATGGACGGAGAGAGAGAGTGTCCCCTCCTCCTCATTCATACGCATAATATACTCAGCTACCTGTTTGTCAGCCCAGTGCACGTAGAGCCGAGACTCGATTACCTCTCTCTCTCTCTCTCTCTCTCGCCACCGTCACTCTCATTCATCCTTTCGCTCTCCCTCTCTCTCCTTCTCTTCACCTCTCTGTGCTCTCCCCGTTTTCCAGTCATTCACAATCGGGAGGACATCACCACCTGCAACCAGGTAACAACAACAACAACAAAAAAAGCCAAAAAAAAAAAAAAACCCACACCGAGAAGCCATTGATATCCTTTTTGTCATCTGCGGTGATTTTGATGTACAAGGCGTGTGACGTGATGTGGGGACGGTGGGGGATTTTCTCCATTCATGTCTTTGTTATTGCAAAAAAAAAAAAAAAAAGGAGGCTGCTACATCAGCGAGCCGGCGAGTGGTGGAAAAACACAGGAGTCATTTGTGCAGTCGTACCGTGAGACATATGAAAGAGTTTTTTTGTTTTGTTGCCGTTTTAAACAAATGGAGGCAGCGCAGCTTCTGCAGCGAGAGAGAGCGTGTGTGTGTGTGTGTGTGTGTGTGTGTGTGTGTGTCTGTGTGTGAATGAAGGAGAGGATGCATATAGTGAGTGGTTCGTGGGCTGTGGATGTATTAAAGCTCGCAGCTCTGACTGGGAGTGAATGAGCTCCCTGTGTTGTGCATCCTACCTCCTATGCTTGGCATGTCCTCCTGTGGACCTGTGGGAGCGTACCCGAATTGCACACACACACACACACACACACACACACACACACACACATGAGGGGGGGAAAGCTGTGAATGCAATGACTCCCAGAGGGCTCTCCTCCATCCCTGGACAGCGCTGTTATCAGGCTGCCAGTGAAGCTGCGCTTTCTGACTCGGCGGCGTTGCTAATGCTCAGCTGACATCGCGGTGGAAACACAACAGATGAGAGCATTCAGGGTGTTGCTCAAGTCTGAGTCTGCAAGATAATCAAGTCCAAATTTTCATTGTGTTTCCTCGTAAAATTGCCGATGAAATTCCTACTTTTTGCCTCAACAGTCGGACGCTTTGAATGTCATTGTTATGGTTGAAACTGAAGATTTTATGTATTGCTGTAGCCCACCAAGTTTAGTCAAATGTGGCTTTTTTAGAACGAGTTAAAGAAAAAAATAGCAAAAGGTGGGTTTGAAATTGTTTTTGTGGTGGAATTGTCGACTCGTCCTGGGTTCTTTGTCATCCTTACATGCATTTTCTTTGTGATTCTTCCTGAACGAATGGAGGAGTATCAGTGTAGTACGGATACAAGACTCCAAAAAGTATTGATTTTTGTTTTTTGTTTTTTTTAAAGATGTGTTCTCTCTCCAAAAAGCAGTAGCTTCTGGGAGGGAGGCACCTTCGCCTGCCTCTCTCTCCCTCTCTCTCTCTCTGTAGTCAGTGAGGATGCTGGAAGATAAATTTAGCCCTCCAGCTCTCCTTCCATCTGCTACCACATGGTTTAGGGCCGTTACCATAGGAACCACCGCTGGGTGCCCATTAGTGTGAGAAGAGGAAATTGACAAGATTTTTAAAAAGCCATTTATACAATATTCTCTTTTTGTGTGTGTGTGTCTGTGTGTGTGCGGGAGTGGACACAGCATTTGAAATTTATGTAAGAGAGGGTTGTTTTTTTTTAAACTTAACTCTGGCTTTCAGCACCTGCAGATTTTGCAGATTCTAACTGTAACTGTATGCCCACTCAGCACTGTGACCATTCAACATTTTTTTATATTATCTCACTGTGTATTGTTGGAGCTTTTTCAGAGGTGCGCTAATGAAAGTGTATTTTTATATTGCGTGCGTTGCTTGTGTCACTGCATTTTGAGAATCAATAGGCTGTGATGACTGAGGTATGTGCTATGTGTAGTTAGCGACGTTAGCTGCGTTAAAGTGTTCCACTTCAGTGAACTCTGACTGACTTACTGGGACACATAAATGCAACAAAGTCAGGAATTGAAATGTGTACGATAAAATTTCTCTTTGGGAAGGAGATCAGACAGCAGTTAAAGGACTATTCCACTCATTAAGCATGGCAGTCCTATAACACTGCTATGGACATTTTTTCTTGCCAAAACCTGGCACCTACATTCCTCAACACACACCTTATCTATAGACCAGGGGTGTCGAACACTGGTCCTCGAGGGCCGCAATCCTGCA